TCTTTACCTGTCTTATCTTGAAGTCTACTGTGTCTGATATAAGTATTGCAACACCTGCTTTGTTTTGTTTGCCATTGGCTTGGAGTATTGTCTTCCATCCTTTCACTCTGAGCCTGTGTTTGTCATTGGAGCTGAGATGTGTTTCCTGGAGGCAGCATATTATTGGGTCTTGTTCTTTAATCCATCTCACCACTCTGTGTCTTTTTATTGGAGAATTCAATCCATTTACATTTAGGGTGATTATCGATATTTGCAGGCTTAATACTGTGATTTTATCACTCGTTGTCCGATTCTCCTGCATTTCCTTTGTTTCTCGTCCTGTGTGTTTTGATCTACCCATTGAATTATGTAGTTTTTTATGATGTGTTGCTTTGTTTTCTCCTTATTTTATATTTGTGTCTCTGTTCTGCTTTTTTGTTTAGTGGTTACCATGAGATTTGTATTCAGAATCTCGCGTATAAGGTAGTTCATTTTCTGAGGGCCTCTTAACTTCCTTAGTCTAAACTGATTCAGTCTCTTTGCTCCTCCCCTCCTAAGTTGTTTTTCTCACATCTTATTCCATCTTGTGTTGTGAGTCTGTGGTTAAAATGACAAGATTATCATTGTTTTTTGTATTTTCCATCTGTTTATCTTTTTTTCTTTTTGAGGAAGATTAGCCCTGAGCTAACATCTGCTGCCAGTCCTCCTCTTTTTGCTGAGGAAGACTGGCCCGGAGCTAACATCTGTGCCCATCTTCCTCCACTTTATATGTGGGATGCCTGCCACAGCATGGCTTGCCAAGTGGTGCCATGTCTGCACCCAGGATCCGAACCAGTGAATCCTGGGCCACCAAAGTGGAACATGCGCACTTAACCACTGTGCCACTGGGCCGGCCCCTGTCCCTTTATCTTTAATGCTGTACTTGAGTATTTGCTATCCTGTTCTGATTCTGTCTACATATTTATCTCCTTACTCCATGGTTTGTAACCCTTTTCTCCCTTTTTTTTTTTTTAGGTATGAGAGCCTTCTTGAGGATTTCTTGTAGGGAGTGGTCTTGTGGCTATGAAATCCCTTAGCGTTTGTTTTCTGAGAAAGTTTTTATGTCTCTATCATATCTAAAGGATTTTTTGCTGGATAGAGTATTCTTGGCTGAAAATTTTTGTCTTTCAAAGACTTGAATATGTCATTCCATTCTCTCCTATCTTGTAAGGTTTCTGCAGAGAAATCTGCTGAAAGCCTGATAGTGCTTCCTCTGTAGGTTATTTTCTTCTGCCTTGCAGCCCTTAGTATTTGTTCTTTGTCATGAATTTTTACCAGTTTTACTACTATATGCCTCGCAGTAGGTCTTTTTACATTGACAAATTCAGGAGATCTGGAAGCCCCTTCCACACAGATTTCTGTCTCTTTCCCTAGGTTTGGGAAGGTCTCTGCTTTTATTTCTTTGAACGCACTTTCTGCTCCATTCTCATTCTCTTCTTATGGAATACCTGTAATTCTTATGTTCCATTTTCTCATTGAGTCGGATATTTCTTGGAGACTTTCTTCATTTCTATTTAGTCTTAGTTCTTTCTCTTCCTCTGTCTGGAGCATTTCAATGTGTCTATCTTCGATTATGCTGACATGCTCCTTTGTGATGTCTACTCAAGCGTTCACGGAATCTGTATTTTGTTTTATCTCTTCCATTGTATCTTTCATCTGTAATATTTGTGATTGATTCTTCTTTATAGTTTCAATCTCTTTTGTGAAGTAGCACCTGAGCTTGTTGAATTGTTTCTCTACATTCTCTTTCACCTTGTTGAGTTTTTTGATGATAGCTATTTTTAATTCATTGTCATTTAGATTACATATTTCTGTGTCCTCAGTACTGAATTCTGGGTACTTGTCGTTTTCTCTCTGGTGTGGAGATTTGATATAAAGTTTGATATTGCCAGAGGGGGTGGCTCTGTTTTTACGCATCCTGATATTATTTGGTTGCAGTACTGCCTGTCGCCACTGTGTTGGGGTCCAGAGCTGCATTTCTGAGCCCTGTGCTTTCAGCCGAGATCCCAGACAGTGGTGTGGGTGCAGGGCAGGTGGGCAGAGGGGCACTTTCTCCTGCGTGCACTCCAGGCTTTCTTGCTCTGATCTCGCTGTCTGGTCTCCTGGGGTGTTGGCTTGATGAAGTCAGTCCCCGTGAAAGCTCTCGCCCTGGTAGAGGCCTTCCCTCTAGGCTGCACGGGCCCTCGGGGTCCTTGATGTTGCCCTGGACAAACGTCCCCTCGGTGGCAGATCACAGTCTGTAGGGGAGGGAGTGAAGTTCTCTCTAACCCCATCCAGCTCCCCTGAGGGGCTCCAGCCTCTCCACCCTCTGTCATATGACTGCGTGTCTCTCCGACGTTTTTGTGTTGTGTTTTTTGTGTCCTCTGTTGGAGTAAGAATGTCCCTTTTCATTGTATGTTGGAGGGGAGAATCCTGGGCAAGTTCATTCCACCATGATGCTGGCATCCTTTTACTTCCCAAAGCTATACATTTTTAAATTAAATTCTGACTTTTCTCCAATGTTTATTATGGGCATTTTGAAACACAAAAATGTTGGAAGAGTAAAAGGTGACCCCCTACAACAGTTGTTGTACCCTGGCCACGGTTTGGTTAGTTGTGTGTGCTCTTGACCATTTAAAGTAAGTTGTGGATATTGTGACCACACCCCTAAACATTGCAGCCTGTGCTCCTTAAAACAAGATGCTTCCCGTAAACGCGCAGCATCGTTACTGCCTGTAACACAGTCTGCAATGTCGGCCCATATTTGCTTCATAGTCACAGCTCCCCAGAGTGCCCTGTTGTCTCTTACAGATTTTGTGTTTTAAACCAGGACCATGTACTGCATTTGTTTTTTGTTTATTTAGTCTCTTCTAACCCAAAATAGTTCTCTCACCTTTTTTATAATTCTGAAAGTTTTAAACTTTAAAAAACTTTTTGCGTTGAATTTCAGACTTAGAGAGAAGTTGTAAAAATTGTACAGAGACTTCCCATAAACTTGTCCCAAATGTTAACATTCTGCCAGACTTTCTTTATCATGCACACTCTCTCCATCTCTCTCTTTCAACTCCTCACCCTGCCGTGTGTGTGTGTGTATCTGTGTCTGTGTACACGTAAATACATACACACACACCCCCCCCCCCCAACACATTTGAGAGAGTAGCTTGTAGACATGATGCCCCTCTGTGGCTAAATTCTTCAGTATGCATTTCAAAACAAAGATACTGAATTAATTAACCATAGCACAATGATTGAACTCCGGAAAGTCACATTTTACAATACTCTTGTCTACTCTGACTTTGTTTAAATTTTGCCACCGTGTCTCACTAAAAAGCTTTATAGCAAAAAGGAAATAACATTTTGGGGTCTAGGACCCAACTCAGGATCCCACATTTTCTGCTGGACGTTTGTCTGTAAACAGACGTCTCTATGTGGTGCCTGCTGTGCATCAGAGACTGCTGGTTGCTGGGGACACAGCAGAACAGGGCCCTGGGCCTTTAAGGAGTGTGCAGTGGAAATGTGCCTTTGAGATCCCGTGGGGCTGAGTGCAGGGTGTAGGTGGGGGTGTGGGGAAGGCGTACACTCCAGGTGGGGCTGAGCCGCTGGGAAGACTCTGGAGAGAGGGTGAGGGTGACGACATGTGTTCATGGACTGGCCATCACGGAGAAGGCCAGAGTGCTGGGCAGAGCTACCAGGCTGGGGGAGAATGCGGCCTGCCTGGAGAACTGAAGATAGCCATCCCTTTACTGACACAACGTGGAGTAGAGTGGAGTGGGGTGGGCTGGACAAGGGTGCTCTGCTGGAGGGCAGGGTCGGGCAGGGCCACCCCAGGCTTGATCTGCAGGGGCGGTTTTGACTAGATGTGTGATTTCGAAGGGTGGAGAATGGAGGGGAGGAGGGTAAGACTTGGGGATCGTGGGGCTCCTGCTGTGATCAAGGTGTGCTCCCCGGTGCTGGCTTGGAGTCAGTGCCCTGGGGCACAGGGGCTCAGGACACTCGAGGAGGGCCAGGTTTGGGTCAAGGCAAAGACCTGTAGGAGAGGTTGAGTGACAGGTTTGCAAATGGCGCCTCTGTCTCAAGACTGGGGCCAGGGGTCAGAGGGGGCAGCTTGGGTGCTGACTCCTCCTGAGTTCACGTCCCAGCAGGGGGATGGCTGAGTCCCGGGCCCCTCTCCCTCCCCACTCTGTGCAGGATTTCCTGTCCCCACCGCTCAGACACCGCTGCGGGTCCCTGCGGCCACACTCAGCTGCAGAGAAGTGGCTGACACCCCCTCCTCGGTCCACCTCCCCCACCATGTTGGTGGCATCACTTGGTTCCACTCTTGCACTGGCTGCTGCCTCCTTCTGTGCCAGGTCCTCTGATGTTCCCGCCTTCTCACATGGCGTGGCTCCCCTCCTCTCTCTTCCCAGGCGGTCTCACCCAGCCCTGTGGCTGTACCTCCTGCCTTAGTGTGCTGGCTGCCATGAGTCCCACATGCTGGGTGGAGGTAAACAACAGAAATGTGTTCTCCAGCGGTTGTGGCGGCCAGAAGCCCCCAGTCAAAGTGTCGGCTGGGCCTCACTCCCTCTGAAGGCCGAGGGGAGGGTCCTCCCTGCTCCTCTAGCTCCTGGGGACTCCTTGTGTGCTTGGCTTGGAGTAGCATCACTCCAGCTCCTGCCTTGGAGTCACACAGCCGTCCCCTCAGTGTGTCTCAGAGCTTCCTCTCCCCTCCTGTCAGTACACCAGTCATGGGACACGGGGCCTCACTTCCATCCAGCAGGATCTCCTCTCAACATCCTGGACATAGTCAACGTCTGTAAGGAGCCTGTTGCTCACTAAGGTCCCACGTGCTGGGATGGGGGCTAGGACTGGGCGGGGCTTGGAGGACACCATTCGACCCTCTGCACATACTGACCCCACCCTGAGGATGACCAGGCTTGTATTTCTGGCCCAGACTCATTTGCTCAGAATGTCCTCTGAGCAGCACCTCACTCCTAATGTGTCCCCACTCTTGCTTTCTCCTCCAGCAGAGAAGCTGCTCCTCACCGTCTGCTCCATTTCGGGACATGTGGCTCTGCTCTGCCAGCTGCTCAGGTGGGAACCCTGGACCCCTCCCAGACCCCACTCCACCTCACCCCAGGCCATCTGCTCCCCTTGTCCATACAGCTGCCTGCCCAACCATGGTGGCACCCCCGTCCTCTTTGTGTCCCCAAGTCACGCAGTCTGTCCTTCACACAGTCAGAGGGACCCTCCTGAGCTGTAACCCATGCCACCCTTCTGCTCAGACCTCCCCTGGTTTCTGGTCTCTCCAGGAGCACCGACAGTGTTCACTACAGCCTCCGAGTCTGGCTGACCTGGCCCCGTGTCGCCTGCTCCCTTACCTTCCCCTCTGCCTTGACCACTCTGCTCTGCCCACTACCTGTCCCTCAGACAGGCTGGCCCTGCTGGTCTCCCTGCCTCCAGGTGTCACAGGCAGCTCACTCCTTCCCTGCCTGGTGTCTCCCCCAGGCGCCAGCACTGGCCCTCCCCCAGACATCCTACATCCCTCTGCTCATCACCTCCTGACACCATTGACCTGCGTGCGTGTGACGGGTCCCCGAGCCCTTGTTTCTGTCGCCGTGTGACATGCAGATGTGAAAAGAGTGTCTGGCACAGCTTCCCTGGGCGCACTTCATCCGTCCTGTCTGAGACCTGGCTCCCTGACCTCAGCAGGGGCTGAGCTCTCAGTGTTAGGCACCTGCTCAGAGAGGCCTGCCCGTCACACAGCCTGGGAGCCACTCACTCACCCTCTGTCTTACCCTGGGCGGCCCCTGCCAAGTCTCCAGGCGCACGTGCTGCCAGGGTCCTGCTCCTCCTGGCCTTGTCGCCTGTTGTTCACAGCTGCGCCCCAGGGCCCAAAGCCGTGTCCCGCATGTGGGGACATTTACCAGATATTTGTTGGGTGAGTGACTGAACAAATCCTAATGGCTGAGGAATGTGATAACAGGTCGGGGCCTGGGGCCCATACAGATGCGTGGTCGCTGAGTAAATGGGGTGATGCTGAGGAGCGTTTGCCTGATGACCCAGTGCTAAGGATGGTGTTTCCTCTTCATGTAAAAATATGGATTTTAAAAAATTGTATGGGTGCTGTGGAATAAGGGAGACACAAAATGCTGTGCAAATATTAACTGATGCTTTTCTGCTTTTGTTTTCCCAGAAACCATTTGCTTTTGACTCAAGATGATTTGATGTTATAGTAAAACTCCTAACCATGATGGCTACACAGACACTGAGCATAGACAGCTATCAAGATGGGCAACAGGTGAGAGCTTGAGCTTCTTCTGCCTTCTAAGTACAGTCCATCGACCTGGTTCTCAAACACGCACAGTGCTTCGTAGACTTGTAATTCGGTTTCCGTGAGCTGGCGGGTTCAATTTAAGTGTGTCGTGCATTTACTAAATGTCGGTGCTCAGAAAGATGAGCTGTAGAATTGTTCAGATCATTCCCTGAGTGACACCAAGACTGCTGGTCATTCTGGCTCCCCCTGAACCACAGTTTCTTGGGAATTTACCTTTTTAATGTCAGTGTCAGTCAGTATTGTTGCTTTTAAAGAAAAACTGGGTGTTGTTGACGGTCACAGGTTCCCGTGTCCGGCAGTTGCTGGTCTGAGCGGGAATCGTGGTTTCGTTTCCCCAGGTGAGAGCGCAGGGCCCGCCCCGAGAATAGAGGTGGCACAGTGCAGAGCTGTCTGTATCTCTGACCTGCTCGTGCTCAGACGGCTGTGCCCACACAGCTTTCTTGGCTGCCTGGGTGGCTTCCTGACTGCCTTCCCACCGTCCAGGAGACTTGCTTTCCCTCAAAGGGACAGTTAAAGCCTGTACAGGTGTTTTGTCTTCTGTGACCTGAAGGACTTGGGGAGCAGAGGGAGGCGGGAGCAGCTCAGCGGAGGCACACGCAGCCTCTCTTGGGGGCATAGGGGCTTGGCTCATTCCCCCTCTTACTCTGGAGCCCTGGAGCTCCATTCCACTGAAGACAGTCCCCCCTGCCTTTGCTCCGCTGACCACAGGGTCCGGAGGCGGTAGCAGAATGCCCAGCGGCTCTGTCCTCTCCCGCCTGAGGACATTGGTGAGCCGGATCAACAGATCAAGCCCGGTGTGCTCACCATGTGTGGTCACAGCCCCACAGCGGTGAGGTTCCATGTGGGCAGTCAGGGCCTGGGGCTGCACCCCTCCTCTCCCAACTCTTGTGTCTTTCATCGGTGGCCAGTTTGGGACTGTTCCTGGTTTGGTTCTTGTCGCACAGATTTTGTTTGTTTTTCTTGACTTTTTTAAAAGTTTTTAAGTGTTTTTCGCTTCTTAAAAGAATTGAGGTGGGGAATTCCGTTTTAGCCAGCTCTCTCACCTGGGAGTCCTTTGATATTTCCAAGTGATTTTGTGTCTAAAATGCAAATCTCTGATGTCCCCTCCTCTCCCCCTGCTGAGGCCGACCCTGAGGCCCTGCCTTGCCTGGCCCTGGGACCCTCAGGCCACCCTGCAGCCCCTCAGGTCACTCACCTCTGCCGCCCTGCTCCTGGGCCTCACTGCCTTGTGACCTGGCGCCTTCTTTCTCCTTCGCTCCTCTGCCCTCAGGCAGCAGCTTGGCCAACTCCCTCCTGACCTGCTGGTCTTTGCTTCCGTCATCCGTCCCCCGCCCCCACCCCTGCCTGCCCTGGTCCCATTGCAGCCCGCTCCCTCCCGTGTTCTCCTGCCTCCAGCCCCTTCCTCGGAGCTCTGTTCTTCTGTAGCACTGGTCACCTTCTGACACGTTGTCTCATGGGATGGTCTTCTCTGCCTACCCGTGTCCGTCTTCCTCTGGCCAGTCTGCACCCCAAGGCTGCCGAGTGTCCAGTGCCATGCTGGGCGCAGCGAGGGACAGCACCTCGCCTTTAGTAGCTGGGCACTTCCCCATGAAGTGGACAACTCTTTGCAACTATTATTTTAAATAAGCATTGAATATTCAACAGTGTAAATATGAAGATTTACTCAGCCATTCCTCTGAGGTTGAACATTTAGGTTTCTCTTTTTAATACAATCATTAAAAAAAACCCTTAAATAAATCTTCTTAGGGGGGCTGGCCCCGTGGCTGAGTGGTTAAGTTCACGCACTCCGCTGCAGGCGGCCCAGTGTTTCGTTGGTTCGAATCCTGGGCGCGGACATGGCACCACTTATCAAACCACGCTGAGGCAGCGTCCCACATGCCACAACTAGAAGGACCCACAACGAAGAATGGCTTGGGGGCTTTTGGGGAGAAAAGGAAAAAATAATAAAATCTTTAAACAAAAATTAAAAAATAAATAAATAAATAAATCTTCTTAGGGTGTTTTATAATACTGCCTGATTTCCTGCCAGAAAGCTTCTGTTGGATTGGTCTTTAGTTAGCTGCTTTAGTGTTTTGTATTTTCATGAGAGAGAGAAAAACAGTCTCCCCAGTGCACCGTTCCGTCTGAAGGCAGCAGAATGGAAGGGTCCTTGCTCACTCTAGATGGCAGGAGGGACGAGATGAGGCCCAGAGCCTGGAGCTGCAAGGCCGCCCCTCAGCCCACAGCCCTGGACGTCAGGGTGGAGGCCGTCGAGAGCTCCCCCCCAGCTGCTCCAGGGGCTGCTTCCTCGAGGGGCAGAGGTGTGGCAGCAGCGGGGGGGGGGGCAGGTGCATCCCGCCCCTCTGGTCCTGAGGAAGCCGAGGGGTGGTCGTCTGCTCATGGACACTTGCAAGTCCACTGCAGCGATTGTGGGTGTCTGTAAACTGAATTCTTTATGTTAAGGATTTAAATACTTTTTAACTAAGTTACAAACAACACATTTAAACAGCAAGTGTAAAGTAATTTAAATGATAATATCCTTAAGGGTTCCTCTTGTGTTTCATATTATTTCTTTAAACACAGCTGGTCTTTCCTTTCTGAATACAGTGACTTTTCTTAAAATTTTTATAGCGTGTGTATTCCTGAAGTTTAAAGGTAGATAGGGGAGAATGTGGGCCTGTCGCAAATGTTAGCATGTCGGGTTTGAGTTGTTTTTGTGACTAGAGAAGAAGAGCTTGGGCCACTTGTTTCTCCTCCTCTTGTTGTGATGTGCTTCGGTCTGGACGCACAGCAGGTGGGGATCCCGAGCTAAACTGCACACACCTGTTCCCTTCAGTGGGGCACGGCTGCTGTGCTGTTGAAAATCAGAAGCATTTCACAAATACTGGTTCTCTCCGTTTTTAAATGGTTTGCCCATTTTAAATGCCTGTCAGAGTCAGACGAGTTCTGTTGGTGGTGTCCTTTGGCGTTATTGCCAGGTGTGTAATTGTCTGGCAATTTTCCATCCCGGTGCTTTCCTGTTTGAGAGTAGAGTACTAGGTAGCAGTTGATTTTGTGTTTAGTAACAAGAATTCTCCTCCTGATTTTGCAGATGCAAGTAGTAACAGAATTAAAAACGGAGCAAGACCCCAACTGCTCTGAACCTGATGTGGAAGGAGTGAGCCCTCCCGCCGTGGGGGCCCAGACGCCGATGGACGCAGACAAGCAGGCCATTTATAGGTAGGAGGGATGTGAAGCGTGTGGGTCGTAGGAGGCGGAAGGAGAGTGGGAAACCCAAGTGGAAGCCCAGAGCCGTCAGCCAGGCAGAGCAGTAAGGCAGGATGCGACGACTGCTGGGCCGAAGGTTTCTCACATTAAGATGCTACTCCTAATATCTTAATAAAAAGGGTTTGAGAGAATAAATCTACATTTAATCATCCTTGCAAAAAGAAATCTTCAGGCCCAGATGATGTTAGTGGAGAATTCTACCAAAAATATAAAGAATTCCAAAGCAGCCAATCTATACAATCTCTTCCAGAAAATAGAAGAGGGAACGCTTCCAACTCATTCTGTGAATGAGCATCACTCTGACACCAAAGACAACATGAAAAAAGACAAGTACAGACAAACGTTCCTCATGAATTCAGACATGAATATCATCAATGAAATATTAACAAATTGAATCCAGAAATATGTAATAGCAGAGTAATATTGGAATAATATAGAATAATCTCTGGTGACCAAGTGGGGTTTATCTCAAGAATGCAAGACTGTTTCAGTATTCGAAGATCAATCAGTGTGATTTACAATGTGATCGTAACAAGTGAGGCAGAAAAGCATGTGACAAAAGTCATCAGCCAATTATCATTAAAAACTGTCAGGGGCCAGCCTGGTGGTTCAGCAGTTAAGGGCACACGTTCTGCTTTTCAGCGGCCCAGGGTTTGCCGGTAGGGATCCCAGGTGCGGACATGGCACCACTTGGCAGGTCATGCTGTGGTAGGCGTCCCACACATAAAGTAGAGGAAGATGGGCACAGATGTTAGCTCAGGGCCAGTCTTCCTCAGCAAAAAGAGGAGGACTGGCAGTAGTTAACTCAGGGCTACTCTTCCTCAAAAAAAAAAACTGTCAGGAAAGTGATAATAGAGGGGAACTTTCTCAACCTGATTAAGGGCCAATGCAAAACCCTACAGCTCACTTCATGCTTAGTGGTGAGAGACTGAATGTTTTCCCCTAAGATGGGGAATAAGGCAGCGATGTCCACTCTGCCTCTTGTCCAGCCCTGTGGTGGAAACCCTATCCAGTGCAGTTAGGCAAGGAAAAGAAAGAGAAGGCATGCCAGGTTGGAAAGGAAGAAGTGACAGTGGCTCTAGGCATAAACAACACGAGTGTCTACATAGACAATCCCAGAGAGTCTGCCAGAGGACTTCCAGAACTAAGTGAGTGGGTTTAATCAGGTCACAGCGTGCGAGGGCCCCACATAGAAACCAATCCTTTCTCCACACCAGTCATGTACAGTTGGAAACAAATTAAAAAGACAATACCATTCACAACAGCTCCCAAAACATTTAGATATAAATCTAACCAAACTCGTACAGATCCTTTATGCTGAAAACTATAAAATGCTGATGCAAAAAAGGGAAAACATAAATAAATGGTGGGACATACCATGTTCATGGAGTAGGAGACTCAACACAGTAAGGATGTGGGTTCTCCTGAGATGGATCTGTAGATTTAACACCATTCCGATTAAAGTGTTAGCACGTACTTTTGTACATATAGAGAAAATAATTCTAAATTTTATATGGAAGTCAAAAAGAACTAGACCTGGTAAAACAATTTTGGAAAGGAATAAAGTTGGAGGAATGAACAATAGCTGAGACTTGGAAGCAAGCCAAGTGCCCATCAACAGATGAATGGAAATGAAGAGGTGGTGTCTATACACCATGGACTACTACCCAGCCACAAAAGAGACAAAATCGTGCCGTTCTCGACAACATGGATGGACCCTGAGGATATTATGCTAAGCAAAATATCTCAGACAGAGATAGAAAAACAGTATGATTTCACTCATGTGGAAGATAAACACACACATAGACAAGGAGAATAGGTTGGTGATTACCAGAGTGGAAGGGAGTTGGGGAGCTGAAAGGGTAAAAGGGGCACATATGTATGGTGATGGATAAAAACTAGAGTATTGGTACCAAACACGATTCAGTCTATACGGAAACTGATATATAATAATGTACACCTGAAATTACACCATGTTATAAACCTATACGACCTCGATAAAATAATTTTTAAAAAAAGTTGAAAGAGTCAGTCTACCTGATTTAGGATCTGTTGTCATGTTATAGTAATTAAGATCTTGTGATATTGGTGAAGGGATAAACACATAAGACCAGTGTCCCAGAAAATCCAGAAATAGATGTACGCAAATGTGAGTCATTTGCTCTTTGTCAAAGGTGAAGAAGCAATTGAGTGGAGAAAAGTTTGACTTTCCAACAACTGGTGTTGGAACAATTGGACATCCATATGCAGAAAAAGATCCTTGATCTGATCTCAAATCTTATACAAAAATTTACTCATAATGGAGTGTAGATCTAATTGTAAATTTTAAAACTGTGAAACTGGCGCATCCCTACAAGGGAATACTATGTGTCCATAACTAGGAGTGAAGCACTGACACATGTTGCTACGTGGATGAGCCTTGAAAACGTTATGCTCAGTGAAAGAAGCCAGACCCAGAAGGTCACACATTGCGTGACTCCATTTATCTGCAACGTCCAGAATCGCCCATCGATAGAGACGGAAAGGAGATGATGGTGGCCTGGGGCTGGGGTTTGGGGGGAAGTGGAGAGTGACGGCTGATGGCTACAGGGCTTCTCTGGGGATGATGAAAATGTTCTAGAACTGGCTGTAGTGATGGTTGCACAACTCTGTGAATATACCAACAACCATTGAATTGTAAACTTCAAATGGATGAATTGTATGTGAATTATATCTCAAAGCTTTTACACAAAATAACACATATATACCTACTAAAACATTGTTGTGAAAAGGTAGAACATACTTTAAAAAATTTTTTCTTTTTTCCCCCAGGCATCCACTGTTTCCATTGTTAGCTTTGTTGTTTGAAAAATGTGAACAATCTACACAAGGCTCAGAGGGCACGACTTCTGCCAGTTTCGATGTGGATATTGAGAATTTTGTAAGGAAGCAAGAGAAGGAAGGAAAACCCTTTTTTTGTGAAGATCCAGAAACTGACAATTTAGTAAGTAAAATGTTTTATTTGTATTTTCTATTTCTTCCAAATGTAAAATCTGTTGAATGAATTTTAAACTTCTAATTAGAACTTCAGACTGTTTGTAGTTCTGCTAAAGGGGAGGATCTCGTCCATTCATGGCATAGCCTGTTTTATGTGCGTGTGGCTGGAACGTCTCCAGTGTCCAGCCTTCTCTGGTTTCACTCTCCTTCAGGGGGCAGGTGAGACGGTTGAGCCTGCATCCCGATGGGACTGGGGAACCCAGTTCTCTCCTGAGTCTCTGAGGAGGTCCTGCGGGGGAGTGGGGGCCTGCTCACCTGTCCTGCTTCTCGGGGAGCACGTCTGCCCAGCTTCTGTCTTTGGCTGTCCCCTGATCCTGGATGCAGGACTTTATTCTCCAGGACAGCTGTCTTGAGGCTGACGCTAATATGAGTGGGTGACAAAGCTGTGTGAAGACTCCGGGAGACCCAAGATGAGCACAGAGCAGGGGCTGGCTTAACAAAGGCTCCGAGGCCCTCACTGCCTCCCCGGGCCTTTCCTCTGAAGTCAGTCTGTCCCATGATTAGCACAGAGCAGGGGCAGGCCTAATAAAGGCTCCGAGGCCCTCACTGCCTCCCCGGGCCTTTCCTCTGAAGCTGGTCTGTCCCATGACAAGCACAGAGCAGGGGCAGGCGTAATAAAGGCTCTGAGGCCCTCACTGCCTCCTGGGGCCTTTCCTCTGAAGCCGGTCTGTCTCATATGAGCCCCCTGCTCCCAGGGCCAGTGCTCCAGCATTCAGGCTTCTCTGTGCGTTCCGAAGGAAGGGGGAATTCTTGGGGTTAACATTGTTGCACCTGAGGGAGTGGTGCCTTCCGCGCTGGGGGAGCCCTGTCCCCTGTTTCTGGCGTGCGGCCACAGCGTAACCAAGAGTTTCCACTTCCTGTGGAACCTGCCAGCTCCTCACCAAACCTTAGTCAGGCCCTTAGCAGCAGGTGGAAATCTTTTTCCAGAATAAATTGCCTGCATCTTAGTTTTTTGCTTTTTGTTTTAAATTTCTCATTACATATTCTTAGAGCCTAATAGATTTTGTAGGCGAGAGTCTGACTTTGTCTCCTCCTCTCTGAGATGGGGCTACAGTGCCTGCCGTTTTGGGGTGAGGCCCAGAAGCTCTCTCTGCCTCTGAATCTCCGTCCTACGGCCATCCTTGACTGGGGCACTTGTAGCAGAGTCTCCCAGGCTACAGGAACCGAGTCTCTCCTGAGGGTGTCACAGCATAGGCCCCGCAGTGCTTAGTGACTGATAATTCTCATTACTGACCGAGCGACTGATCGGTTCGTTCCCCAAATTCCTGTGAATTACCACCACCAAGGTCACGGGGAAGGAGCTGAGCTTTGGGTTGTGGCTTCACGGGAAAGTGGTGCTTATGCTAATGGTTTCATTATTTGTGTCAGTTATTTACTGCTGTGGGACAAATTACCCCAAAACTTAGTGACTTTCTATAAAACTGTGAAACTTTTGGAAAAACGGTAAGAGAAAATCTTTGGGATCTAGGGCTCGGCAAAGAGTTTTTAGACTTGACACCAAAAGCACAATCCATGAAGACTGGCAGAGTTGATAAGTTGAACTTTATCGAAATTAAGAACCACCAATGAGGTAGGTATGGATTCACCCCCATTTATAGATGAACAGGAGCAGAGTGAGGGTGAGTAACTTGCCCGTCATGGAATGAGTCTGAGATGGAGCTGGTTGAGGCCCGGCTGTCTCCTGGTCCTGTGGCTCACTGAGGCCAGTCGTGGGATTGTCTGTTTTCCCCGCACACCACATGGAGCCCAGATCCCAAACCACAGGTCAACGAGGCTGGAATGATTTGCTGCTTTGCCTTATTTCTCGTGTTATTCCCCCTCTGTTATTGCCAGTACAGATGCCCTGGCTATGCAGTGTTCCCGCTACTAACTGAGAGTACTCGTGTGCTGATGAGTGTAAGTTACCATCATGCTCTCTTTGTCTTGTCTGAAAGTCTTCATTTTCTCTGCTTGTAGATGGTAAAAGCAATCCAGGTTTTGCGCATTCATCTTCTTGAGCTGGAAAAGGTTAATGAACTCTGCAAAGACTTCTGCAGTCGATATATCGCTTGTCTAAAAACGAAGATGAACAGTGAAACTCTGCTGAGTGGAGAGCCCGGAAGCCCGTACTCCCCTGTCCAGTCCCAGGTATTTTGTCTGGGTCCTGCTCTGCTGCTCAGCTCCTGTACCCTCTGCGAGGGTGAAATGCATTGATTCCTGAGACCTCCATCGCTTTCAGAATAGTGGGCCTGTCGTAATGGCTGTGCTACTCAAAGGAGCTTCTAGGTCTCTGAACCCGCCTGGGCTGGACGTGAGCTCCAAGCTGGGAGACTGTCCATCAGGCTTCGTGCATGAAGGAAGTGAGGCCTCCATCTGGGTACTGGACCCGGATCCCATGTTCTGGAGGATGGAGTATCATTCTTTCCTTTCTTTTTTTAAATATGTTTTTTATTATTTTTTAAAATTATGATAAAGTACACGTATCATAAAATTTACCGTTTGAACCATTTTTAAGTGTACAGTTTAGTGGCATTAAGCACATTCACACTGTTGTGCAACCATCACCACCATCCATCTCCAGAACTTTCCATCTTCTGCAAACTGAAACAGTGTTCCCACTAAACAGCTCCTCATTCTCCCCTCCCCCAGCCCCCAGCACCCACTGTAATACTTTCTGTCTCTATGAATTTGACTCCTCTAGGGACCTCGTATAAGGGGAGTCGCACAGTATTTGTCCTTTCATGTCTGGCTTGTCTCACTCAGCACAGTGTCCTCGGGGTCCCTCCGTGTCAAAGCACTGTGTTATGTCTTGGTCATTCTGATCGTGTGTAGTGACATTTCCTCGTGGTTGTAATTGGCACTTCTGTGATGGCTCCTGATGTTGACCATATTTTCATGTGCTTATTTGCCATCTGTACATCCCCTTTGGTAGAATGTCTGCTCATGTCTTTTGCCCATTTTCTAAGGGGATTTTTTAAAAAATCTGTTGAAGTTTTAGAGTATTCTACATGTTAGTCCTTTGTTGGGTGTATGATTTGCAAATATTTTCTCCAAGTCTGTAGCTTAGCTCTTCATCCTCTTAACAGGGTCTTCTGCAGAGCGAACATTTTTAATTTTCATAAAGTCCCATTTATCAACTTTTCCTCTTAGGAGTCGTGCTTTTGGTATCAAGTCTAAGAACTCTTTGCCTAGCCCTAGATCCCAAAGATTTTCTCCTATTTTTTTCCCAAAAGTTTTATATTTTGGGGCCAGCCCGGTGGCATGGTGGTTAAGTTCACACGGTCCGCTTCAGCAGCCCGAGGTTCTTGGGTTCCAATCCCGGGCACAGACCTACACGTCGCTCAGCAAAACATGCTGTGGGGGCATCCCACATACAAAATAGAGGAAAGATTGGCAATATTAGCTTAGTAACAATCTTCCTCACCAAAAAAAAAGTTTTATATTTTACATTTAAATCCATGACCCATTTTGAGTTAACTTGTATAAAATGTGAAGGTTTAGGTTGAGGTTCATTTTTTTGCCTATGGATGTCCGTTTGCTCCAGCACCATCTGTTGAAAAGGCTGTCTTTCCTCCATTGAATTGCTTTTGCACCTTTCTTGACAATCAGTTCGGCTTATTTGTAGCAGCTATTTCTGTGTTTCTCTTCCATTGATCTGTGTGTTTATACCTTATAGCTTGATTACTGTAGCTACATAATATGTCTCAAAATTAGGTAGACCGATTCCTTCTGCTTTATTCTTCTTTTTCAAAATTATTTTAGCTATTCTAGTTCCCTTGACTTTCTGTATAAATTTTAGAATAATCTTGTCTATATCTACAAAAAATGTTACTGAGATTTTGATAGGAATTGCATTAAACCTGTATACCATTTTGGGGAGAATTGACATCTTTACTATGTTGACTCTTCCAGTCTGCAAACATGCTATGTCTCTCCGTTTATGTACTCTTCTGTCATTTTTCATCAGTGCTTTGTAGTTTTTGCCATAGAAGTCTGGCACGTGTTTTTAGAATTCTACCTAAGTATTTCCTGTTTTTGAGCAATTGTAAATGTTATTATATTTTTAACTTCAGTGTCCATGCTAGTACGTGGAAATACAGTTTATTTTTATATGTTTATTTTGTATCCTGTGACCTTGCTGAATTCACTTACTAGTTCTAACAGGTCCTTTTTGTAGATTCCTTAGGATTTTCTACCTATTCAGTTGCGTCTTCTGCAAATAGGGACAATTCCAATTCCTCCTTTTTGGTCTGTATGCCTTTTATTTCCTTTTCTTTCCTTATTGCATTGGCCAATACATCCAGTACTATCTTGAATAGGATCAGTGAGAGTGGACATCTTTGCCTTGTTCCCAATCTTAGGGGACAGTATTCATAAGCCTTTCACTACTAATTATAATTTTAATGGTAGGTTTTTTCTAGATACCCTATCAAATTGAGGAAGTTCCCCTCTCTTCCTATTTTTCTGAGAGTTTTTATTATGTTGAATTTTGTCACATGCTTTCCCTCATGGTGTGATATGTCTATGTGATTTTTCTTCTTTCACATGTTAATGTGGTAGATTACATTACTTGATTTTTTGAATATTGAACAAGCCTTGCCTTCCTGGAATAAACTCCATTTGCTCATGGCACATAATTCTTTTTATATAGATTCCTGAATTCTGATTGCTAATATTTTGTTAAGCCTTTTGTGCCTATGTCGAGGGATATTGGTCTGTAGCCAGGATAATACAAGCTTCATAGAATGAATTGGGGAGTATTCCCCCCTTCTTCTATTTTCTGGAAGAGGTTATGTAGAATTGGTGTTAATTCTTCTTTGACTGTTTAATAGATTTCTCCAGTGACACTACCTGGACCCAGAGATTCCTTTTTTGGAAGTTTTTAAATTACGAGTTCAGTTTCCTTACTAGTTATAGGGCTATTCCAGTGATCTATTTCATACTGGATTTTGTTGAAGTTGTCCGGTGTGTCAAGTTGTTCAGTTTGCCGTTTTCATCTCTTGATGTCTGCAGGGTCTGTAGTGATCTCTGCTGTTCATTCCTGGTATCGGTAATTTGTCTTCCCTCTTTTTCCGTCAGTCTCACTGGAACTTTGTCAATGTATTGATCTTTTCAAAGAACCAGCTCTTTTTTCATTGATTTTCCTCTGTTCTTTTTCTGTTTTCAATTTCATTGATGTCTGCTTTGATCTTTATTATTTTCTTCTGTCCACTTGCTTTGGTTTCATTTTGTTCCTGTTTTTGTAGGTTCTTGATGTGGGAGCTTGGATTATTGATTTGGATGGCTTAATTTTTACTCTGACCAAACTAATGTGGCAGATGTTGTGTGTACCTTCCAAAGCTGGTGCATTCAAATGCATGTGGTAGCCCACAGAGTGATCGTCTTTGGACACGTCCACTTAGGCTATTTACCTGCTCAGAGACCTGGTGCCTGTGCTGCTCAGGCCCCGTGCTGGATGCCAGGTGCAGGAGAGGCCTCCCTCGCCAACTGCCAATCCAGCCACCACAGTAGCCCATTTGCATCTAACTTCACATGAAGAGGGTCTCCAACGTGGTGTTGACAGACATTTTCATGGAGCTTGCTGCAGGCCAGGCCCAGCCCAGCACTCCACAGACATGAACCCCAGGGGCACAGATGTGCTTTCTGCTGTGGGAAGGGCAGGTCCAGAACTGTGTCAGCACCAGGGGTGACCCCCAGCACTGCTCAGAACGCCCCATTGCTGTGGCATCATCTTTTCAATATGCTCATCCTGTCCAGAGGCTTTGGTTCTTAGAAAATCATGAGTCTGAGCCAAATGGAATGGAAAAGGTGTGTGGTGAGATGAGGCGGTTTTGGTCTTCCTAGACACACCTCCCAGGTTTAAGGTGTGTTTAATATGGTGATGAGTTGAAAGATAATCTTTTTGGAAGCCAAATTGAAACTGATATCTCAATCCTGATCATCATATTTAATGTTCGATTTCACACCTCTTGGTCTCCAGATATGTAAGTCATGCTCTATGGAGGGCTTGTCATCTGATTATGCTCCTTCTCTCAAGCAGCTTTCCTTTACTGACGATACCTTTTTGCCACTTGTTTTGAAGTTTTAAACATGGATTTTGTTTTCTGTTTTCTCATAATCCCGTCTCTCTGTGTTTCTGATCCGCAGCAGATTCAAAGTGCCATCACAGGCACTCTCGGGCCCCAGGGGATCGTGGTGCCAGCATCCGCACTGCAACAGGGGAACGTAACCATGGCAACAGTGGCAGGTATGACGGCGGGAAAAAGGATGATTTTTCTATGAGCTTTTGCAGAAAAAAGTCCTTTATATTAGAACAAAGAAGTGCATAAATATAATTTTTAATTAATGCCAATTCCTGAGGTAGGAGTGCCAAAATCTAGAGGTCTTTGAGTGCTTTTTTCTTGTTAATTCTCAGTAACAATATTTTCTGCAAATTGTCTTTCCCTACCAAAAAATATCGGGAGAAAAGGTTTCATATAGGGGTTGAAAATATATAGCGAAAACCAATTGTAATTTTCAAATAGCATAGTTTTTAATTGTGCTCTTAGCAGCACCTAGAAAATCCTAAGTTGTGTCATTAATTGATGACAGGCAAATAGAAATGCAGTCTTAGTATTACTTGTATAATAAAAACTATTGCAAGAAGGGGACAGGGGCCGGCCCCGTGGCTGAGTGGTTAAGTTCGCGTGTTCTGCTGTGGCAGCCCAGGGTTCGGACCCTGGGCACAGACATGGCACCGCTCGTCAGGCCATGTTGAGGCGGCGTCCCATATGCCACAACTAGAAGGACCTGCAACTAAGATATACAACTATGTACCAGGGGGGATTTGGGGAGATAAAGCAGAAAAAAAAAAAAAAGATTGGCCACAGTTGTTAGCTCAGGTGCCAATCTTTAAAAAAAAAAAGAAGGGGACAGATTCTAAGTTCTTTGGTACATCTAGAACATGGCAAATACCAAACCGTCTTGAAAGTGGAATGGGGCATGTAAGGAGGGGTGAGATTTATACTAAAAATCCCCTGTAATAGCACAGAGGGAAACCCCCACAGGAGCATGAAAGCACAATTGATTAAAAATAACTATAATAAAAATATTTGTTATCTAACACCTTTGGCCAAGACCTGTCATATGTGCCAGTTGTGGGGAAAAGTAGAAAGCAGAGGCTAGCAAAAGGAGGAATTGCAGACCCCTAAGCCAACCGTGCCTTGTGCGCGTCGTAAAGGGCATGGGGTGCCTGGGTGGCCCTGTGCCTGCCTGCCCTGGGCACTCGAGCATGGCTTGTCCAGTGAATTCCTTTTAATAATTCGTAGCAACAAGTCAGCTAGCAAAGTATTGCTGATCATTGAAATGATTTAAAAAGCTTGTCAAACTAGAGGTTTTATTTCTTCCATAAGAATATTGAGAAGAATGGTTTTAAATTGTTGAGACTTAAAAGTGGTTTACTTTTTTCTTCCTTTTTCAGGTGGCACAGTTTATCAGCCTGTCACAGTCGTGACTCCCCAAGGCCAGGTAGTGACACAGGCGTTGTCGCCCGGGACGATCAGGATCCAGAACTCCCAGGTGCGTGTGCCATGCCTATGGAAGAGCTTTGGGGGAGCATGCTGTATGGGGTGGGGTGCTGGTTGAACCAGGCTTGAGCTGGTCCCTCTGTGTGAAGACCCTTGTCTCAGCCTCATGTAGCAGTCTCTAGTAAGCTGAATGTCAATGTTTTGTTTCTTTCTTACTCCTCATCTCCCTCGTTGTGAAAAAGTTGCAAAGCTCAGAAAAGTCTAAGGAAGCAGGAAAAGTCACCATGATCCCCCCCAGCAACCACTGTTGTCCAGTTTGATGTTGGTGTGTGTGGTTGTCTTCACCTCAGGGGATTCGAGGCTGTGTGGACGCATTCTTCCCGGCCCCTGGTGGGTCACAGCAGAGCCACCAGTCAGGTCTTCCAGCCCACGCCAAGGCCCACTCGCACTTCCAGTGGGAGCTGCCAGCAGGGCCTGTGGGCTCTGAAGAGCTCTCCAGGGCCTTTCTGCTGTGCACCAGCTGGACAGAGCCCGGCTTCGGCCTGTTCCTCTGGTTGTCTGGGCACTTGGTTGTCGCCCTCCCACACCCTGCTGAGGAACCTGTGGGAGGGCTCCTCCTTCCCCTCTCCACCCTGCTCAGCCCCCTGCCTCCTAGTAACACCAGCTCCCAGAGCATAGGAGGCAGCTTCCGGGCAGAAGCGACAGAGCTGGATGCCCGCCATGCTGTCCCTCGACCCCACCCACCCCCTCTCCCCGTCATCTTCCATCCATTACAGTCTCTGTGAGCACGAAGCAGTGGCAGTCGCAGAGCGTTTCCCGGTGTCGAAGGGCACTGTTTTCAGAGGAGCGCGTCTTAAAGTCAGGCCTCGCTTACCCAGGAGGGCTTCCTCCGCCTGCTGTTTCGGAAGGAAGTTTTCTACGTGACTGAGTGTTCCTGCAGATGGGCCACCAGTGCAGACAGCGGTTGGGAGAGTTCAGGGGGTCACCCTCTCCTGCCACCTGACCCCCTGCTCCCTCAGGGACCTGCGACCGTAGCTCCCGTCCTGGCTGCCTGTGGGCTGCCTCTGCTCTGGTCCCAGTGGCCCTGGGAGGCCCCGTGAGCTTGTCGCCTCCCCATCATGTCCCCAGCTGTGTGTGGCTTCCAGGGTGGAGGGCTCGGAAGCTGCTCAGGGCTGTAACAGGAGAGCGAAGAGTTTCAATCCCGAGCCCTGGTGGGGTGTTTTTTGAAGGAAACATGCATTCGACGTCCAATTCTAGCTTAGCTATTTGGGCTGTTTTGGGCTCTTTTCTTCCTTCTCTTTGAGCTAAAATTTGAGTTCTTGCTGTGCTTCAGATAATCAGGGCGAGTAACTTACCAGTGACAGTTTCTGTTTTTGTGTCAGAAACTGTCAGGGTTGGTTTTGTCAAGAAAATTGGTGATTGTCTATCAGGACTCGTGTTGTCGCTATGGCAGTCACCATTATTCCTGACTGAATCTCAGCAGTGGTGGCCGTCGTGGACACGCCCTCGCAGCACTTGCTCCCGTGCCGTCCCCATCCCCCCTGGTGGATCCCCGCTCAGGGTGTCTGGCTGGGCGCTGGGGGTCGTGGGCACACACGGAGGCCATTTTAGCGCAGCCTCCCTGCCCCAGAAGAGGATCGGCCGCCATGGGGGCCCAGAGCCCATCAGAAGCAGCCAGAGTGTGACTCTCTTCCTCGGGCATCTCGGCTGAAAGTCTTTAGTTACATTTCTAGTGCAAACCCACTTAAAGACAGTTTGGAGAAAGTGACAAGGAGCCGGGGGGCTGAGATTTTGTTGACTTCCTCTCCCTCCGCCCCTTCCCTGTTCCCAGGAGAGTCTGATTTGTACAAGCTATTTATATATTTTAGGTTTTCGCTGTGGTTTGGCCTCTGATAAGGTTTTTTGCCTGTTTTTCTCTGTACAATGATTTTTAGTTGCCTTATGCGGTTGCTGTGCCGTAGCTCAGCGTGTCTGGGTGCGGACAGGTCCGGGACAGGTTCCCGCAGTTCCTGCCGCCCTCCACTCCCCTCAGGCAACCATTTCAGATCTTTTAGCCATTCTTTTGCATTTTGCCCCATATTTCTAAATAAAAATCCCCTCTCCTGACTCACCCCTTAAACGTCTCATTCTGGCTTTTTGTTCTGCTTGGTGAGGGGCCTGTTCTCTCCATCCCATGCCTTGCCATGACTTGTCACGTGTCTCCCCAACTCCTTTAGATCCCAGTGCAGTCAGAGCTGTTCCAGTGTTAGCGTCGTCATGACCAAGGACACCCCAGTTTCTGATTACAGTGCTTTTCTGGTTCAAATGTTTGTTTCTGCCTGAGTTAATAGCTGTTGTTTTTTCCCTTTGCTAAGTGTTCACGGTGTCGATGGCTAGATCCTCCCATGTTCTCCAACACCCTCTCTGGTTCCCCTGCGCCTGGCCTGTGAGGGAGCACGTTGGGGCCGTGCGTCCAGGAGCCCTCCAGCCTCCCAGACTCCTGGGCCGGGCGCAGGGCACGGGGCGCATTCTTGGACTTTCCTTGGACATCCCCTTGAGGACTCCGTCTCCTGGAGCCCATGTCTTCTACTTTCTTGGTTTTATTCCCCTTTTGAAAACTTCTGGAGAAAATGTGCATGAGAGGTACATTTTGTTGAGACTTTGCAAACCTAAAAATGACTTTATTTTGGTTTCATACTGATATGCAGTCTGCTCACAAGGACAATTCCGGGTGGAAAATGGATTGCCCAGAGTCCGGAGGCCTGCTGTGGGTGTGTTCTGGCAGCAGGGTCGCTTTGAGAAGGTCTATGTGGCTCTGTTTTCCAATCTTTTGTGTTTTCTCTGCTTTTAGATGTTCCTCTTTTCTCTGAGTCTTTGGTACTGAGCAGAAGGAGCTTGTGTCCTTGGGTCTAGGACATTTTCCTGCACTCGCTCTGTGACAGTCTCCCCCACATGCACCTTCTCTTTCTGGAGCCGTAGTAAGTGAACATGGTGCCTTCTGAACCAAGTCTCTTGGTTTTTGTATTTAAATTCCCATTATCTACTTTTTGTCTGCTTTCTGAGAGATTTTCTTTTATCTTCCAACTCGTCTATTGAGTTTTAGATTTTCGGTGTAGTTTTAATTTCTAAGAGCCCTTCTTCCCTCTCTGTGCTTTTCTCTTTGTTTTGAAGTAGCATCTTATTTTTGGTTCATGGATGGTGGCAGTTTTTTTGGATTTGCCTTCTCTCTGTTTCCTCTGCATCTCAAAGTTTGTTCACTTTGGTGTCTGTTTTTTGTGATGGGGGCTTTCAAGTGTTTGGGGCCATTCGGCTGTCCTTTTAAATGTAAACATGAGCCACTTGGAAAGCTCTTTGGTGCTTGTCCGGTGCTGGGCTTGGCAGGCTGCCTTTTCTGTTGGCTGACCTCCATATTCTGCCATCCCTTCGTCTTGTCTTCAGTTTCTCCAGAGAAGGACTCTGATTTCTTGCCTATGGCATAAGCACAGTGGCAGGAGCAGGTGTGGGCTGGGCTGGCTCTCTTCACCCCTCTTTCTGGCCCTGCCCCTCACTCCCACCCTCCAGCTGTGCTCAGTCTGCCCTGAGTCTGCAGCCTCTAGTCTGTTTCTTCGAGAAAGAAACCCAGAGTCTCCTGCAGAGGTGGAGGCAGGTGGGTCATCTGCAGAGAATGATGGGGGAGGGGTGTTGTCTGGAGAGCTCAGTGCTTCTTAAACGGACTTCCAGCCAGTTTCCTAGGCTTCTGAATCCCCCTGCCTTGTCCAGGCCAGGCTGGGCTCGAGTCCAGCCGGTGCCAGTGGGTCATCTCTCGGCCCTCAGCTTGCTTTCCTCTCGCGGCTTAGTTGGCATGTCCCAGGTCCCCTTGGCGGCATCCGTGAAGGCGAGCCACGCAGCCAGCTGTCACTTTGTCTATTTCTGAGCCCACATCTGCTTTAACCCTGCACAAAAAAAGCAGCACTGAAGCACATGTCAGATTTCATGGGGAAGATCATATATTGAATTGAGACAGATAAGGCAGGCAAGCTAAATTTTGGGCCTGGTGCTTTAAAACTAGTTTTAAAAGTTCATTTTCCATTCTTTTTCCTGTACACACAAACCTGAGTGTACAGGCGGTGCTTAATACCTTTTGCTTTCAGTCCTTTAACAAATAAACAAATACATTCCAAAAAACAATTATGCCCTTAGTAATAATCTTGAGTTTTAAGAAATTATGGATATAGTTAGTGGTCTTACTGTCTCCTTTAAGTCATAAATCCTGTCTGTTTAGAGGTGGGTGTTCAGGCCTTTTAAGAATCTGTCCGGGGCCAGCCCCATGGCTCAGTGGTTAAGTTCACATGCTCCACTTCAGTGGCCCAGGGTTTTACTCAGATCCTGGGCACAGACCTAACACCACTCATCAAGCCACGCTGATGTGGCATCCCACATAGCAGAGCCAGAAGGACCTACAACTAGAATATATAACTATATACTGGGGGGCTTCGGGGAGAAGAAGGAGAAGAAAAAAAGGAAGATTGGCAACAGATGTTGGTTCAGGTGCCGGTCTTTAAAAAAAGAAAAAAGAGGGACTGGCCCCGTGGCTGAGTGGTTAAGTTCGTGCGCTCCGCTGCAGTGTTTCGTTGGTTCAAATCCTGGGCGCGGACATGGCACTGCTCGTCAAACCACGCTGAGGCGGCATCCCACATGCCGCAGCTGGAAGGACCCACAACGAAGAATATACAACTATGTACTGGGGGGGGCTTTGGAGAGAAAAAGGAAAAAAAAATAAAATCTTCAAAAAAAAAAAGAAAAAAGAATCTATCCAAAATGATGTAAATCTAGAGGAAGTGCAGAAAATCCTTTAACTGTGTCTATGAGTAGGCCATACCGAGATTGACCTACAGAAGTTGACGTTCATTTATTTATAGAGTCATATGTGAACCCTGAGTTAAAGCGTGAGAACAGCAGAGATGTCCCTCATGTGCCTGTGCTTGTGTCCTCCCCTGGTCTGAGTGGTGGACACTGGTGACCCCGTCTCTGCAGGCCCACTGGGGCGAGACGCTGCACCTGGGACGCGTGCCGGGCCTGAAGCACGGCCTCGTTCACATCAGCGCTTTTCTCACCTTCATGTGAAAGACACTTGTCCAAGAAACGCTCCGCACGTCCTGGCCTCTTGAAATGGATGGACAGGATGTGTTTCATGCTTTCTCAGGGGTGAGGGAGGCACTGTCTTAAGTGGCTGCTGAGGCCGTCACCCTGTTGCTTTGTGGTGCCTTAGTCTGCACATTGTGTGTTTGTTTCTTTCCCCTCTCTTCAATGGGCATGACCTCCTCGTCTGTGGCACTTTCAGCTTCCCTGTCCGTTCTCACTGGTTGTTTGAAATCTCTTTTAGGCTAGGAAATCAGGTGTAATCATGTCCATTAGTAGAGGGTGCCAGATGAGAGCAGGTGGTGGACCAGAGGAAAGTGGGATTCGCCTGTGTGCAGAGTAAACGACTCGAAGGCCTTCTCAGCAGCCATCCTGTCTGCCTCACTAGACCAGGGGCCTCTGTGTAGTTGAGACATAGTGTAGACAGTGATAATGTGGAGGGAGCCATATCCTCAAAAAATTAGCCCATACTGAGCATATGCCTTTACTGAAATAAGTCCTTTATCCATAGCATCCTTGGTTATTTTCTCCATCTGCATTCATAAGCTGCTTGGATATGTCATAATTTCTATGCTTTCTAACATTGTTTTTCAATTGTTTAAAAGCTCCAGTTACAGTTAAACCAAGATCTAAGCATCTTGCATCAAGATGATGGCTCATCTAAGAATAAGAGGGGAGTTCTGCCGAAGCACGCTACCAATGTGATGAGGTCGTGGCTCTTCCAGCACATAGGGGTAAGAATGGGGTGGCCTCGCCGTCAGCAAGACCCTCAGAGAGCCTTTCCTTCTGGCTTATTTCCTAGAAAACATTTACTTGTATGGGCTAAAAGACCTGGTTTTAAGTATCAGTGTTTCGTTGACTGTCCATAATGGGTTGAGCATGGGACAGAAGAGAGAGTTACCAAAAAGTGGAGGACATCGCTTCAAGAAACTTAAAATAAACGAGAGGTCCCCCTGGTGGAAAGGGAATAAGTTCAGCTCCTATTGACTGTATATGTGCGCCTGAGAGAAGGTACCCATGCACGATGACCGGTGAGGTGAGGTTAGTTAGAGAAGTGGGCAGAGAAAAGAGGCATTTGGGCAAAACCCTGGAAAATGGCAGTTTTATGTATTGGATTTGACAGGGAGATGTGATGAGGTCAAAGGTGGAGATGTACAGTTGAGCCTGTCGACAGCAAGGTCAGCAGAGCTGGCCAGCAGGCAGTGCCGACTCCTCCGCATTGTGTCCGTGCACCACCTGTCCTCCTTGGCTCGTGGCCGTGTCTTCTCTGTGAAGACGTCCTATCGTAGGAAGCACATGCTTGCCAATGGATGTCATGGCAGGACTCACTCGTTAGCTGGTTGAGGCCCCTGTCCTCACACTGCTGGGCTTGGGAGAGACGAGTGACCCAGAGCAGCTTTCAGGAGCGACACCCCGGTTTGGCAGCCAGGGTCAGAATGACCAGGAGCTCGTGGTGGGACAGGGTGGGAAAGTGGACGTCCCTGCCCTTACAGCCGTGTCCGTGCAGGGGAGGAGAGCCCACCAGGGTGTTCGGGCGCAGAGGCAGAGGCCACTTGTGTAGTCGGGAGTGCAGGAGTCCAGGAGGTCTGGCAGAAAGCTGCCTGGTGGCTCATGACCCAGCCTTTCAGCCAGGCACTTCCATCCTGCGCTCAGGGTTCTCTGGAGTGTGCATGGCCCAGGCCACCAGGCTGCTCCTAAGAGCTGTGGGGGTCAGCCTGGACCTGCCCCTGTGCTTCGTGCCGTCATCACCCTAGTGTCTTCGGCTGCACCCATTTCCTCACCATCTCCATCCCAGTGCCGGTGTGGCTCAGCAGAGGTGTCTGTCACCCTTCTGGAGGCACCTGCCACCTGGGCCGGAGACCTGCATTTGTCACCTGTCTCCATCCTTGCCCTGACTGGGAACCCTGAGACCAGCACCTGGTCTTGGTCGTCTCATGTCCCACTGGGAGGTTAGCCCTTGTCACTGTTGGGCAGCCCCCTTTTCTTCTAACTGGAGTCAGGCTCCTTTGCTGAGGGACGGGGGTCTGAGGGAGCGACTGGCTCCTGGCTTTGAACTGGCACGTGATGTTGCTGAGCAGTTCTAGGGAGGGGGGACCCTCTCCCTTTCCCAGAGGGAAGCCCCGAGGAGCCCCAGCTGCCCCTCCCTGAGCACTAGGACCCTCAGCTCCTCTCTTCTCTGTTGCTCTGGGGCTCTGGTCTCTGCTGAGCCGTTCCCACCACAGGACACAGCAGGACATGTAGGGAGGAAAAACGGTGCTATCTTTGGGTGGTATGACCATGTGTAGACATGTATCCTAAAAAGATTCACTAGAAAATGAAAAGTTTTGTGGATAAGATGGTACAGTGGTGGTCATCATACTAATTGGAAATGAGTCGGTGTGTGAATTAGGACATATCAATTTGATGGAATATTATACAACTGGTTACCCTGATAAATGAGAGCTGTAAGCACCAGGAAGCTTCCAGTAAATGGTAGTAAGTGAAAAGTGGAGCATACGTATTTCTGTGTATACTGATTATTACAACCAATAACTCTATCTGTAATATAATGATTAGAATACAAACAAATAAGTGGTGGGATTGGGTATTTTCCTTGTAAGTTTCTCTGAATGTTTTAATAATTTCTAAAACAATAACCCCTGCTCATAGGTTCAACTAAAATGCCATTTTTTGTCATATGAACCACTTTCTATCTCTCTGCCCTTATTTCTTTGAAACACTGTCCTCTCCTTGTGGTTTTCCTAACACTATGACAGCACTTACTACCTTTTTTCCTCTCATTTATGTACTTAGGTTTCCTGCCCCCTTTTTATTTCATGAGGTTTTAAAGGGCAAGAACAACATTTATGTTTCCATAACCTCCAACTCAGGGCCGTATGCTCGTCCGTAGAATCAAATTGAATTGGTATCAGTTTCAGGAAACTAATAGTCTGCTGCTCAGATCAGTCCGATGCTGTTCCATCATCACCAGATGTACAGTGACTCTTCCAGCAGATACTGAGAGTTCACGTAAAGTAAAAGCCAAAGTAAACTCCCACTTCCTTACCCTGTTGGTGCCATTCACTCTGTGGGGTCCCAGTCGGTCCAAAGTAAGGGGCTTCTGTGCATATAGATTTTCGAGTAAATGTCTTATTGGTTTCAAATGTGGATGGTAATCAGTCTTGGAGAAATTGTTTATTACTGTAGATAGAAATCATTTTCCTTTGGTACTTCTGTGAATTTTGATAATTACTTCTGGTTTAATTCCATTTTTTTTAAAGTGAAATGTTCTAATCATATGTAGAAGAAAGAGTCATATAACAGACACTCCCATCCCCAGCCCTTGGTCCAGTTCTTTACTGGCAGCACATGTTAACCTAGCAGAGGTTTGTTCTTGGAGAGCTGTAGATGACCTCAGTGCATCCCAGTGTGCGTGTATCCTCGCAGTGACCAAGGTAGAAGTCTGTCCCCTGAATGTGCTGGGCCTGGAGCTGCCTGCCTAGCCCCTTCCTGCCGCCTCTGTTGATCCAGCTGTGGGATGGGGGGAGTGTCTGAAGTCTCCCACCTGTTTCCTCTGCTGTAAACTAAGGTGATGACCCTGTCTGTCTCAGAAGGTGTTTGTGAGGAATTGGTGAATGACTATAGAATGTACAGGGATGATACACGTGGTCTGTCTTGCTGGCAGAGGTTTCATGGGTGAAAACTCAAGCATTTATCCACTTTAAATGGATGCAGTTTATGGTTCATAAATTATACCTCAGTGAAGTTGATACAGAAACTGTCGATGGCATCAGGTGCTTAGAACAGCACCTGGCCCAGCACAGAGTGGCCCCTGGGTGGGCAGCTGCCTCAGTGGCGGTGTCACCATGGTCCTCACCCTTGAACGCTCAGTCTCTGTCTCGCCACTCCTCTGCCCGTGCTTTGACCAGGGCAGCTGGGAGAAATGCTTCATTCTGTTTGGGGCATTTCTAAAAAAAGTTAGAAGACTAAAGTTAGGTTTTAGCTAAAATCACTATTGACACCTAACAGTTTTTTACTAATGATGATTTGCGTGCTTCTACTTTCCCTAGGTAGTCTTGAGTTCCTTTTTAAAGACTGAAGTTCATGGTAACCCTTCTTTGTATTTTTAGCATCCGTACCCGACAGAAGATGAGAAAAAGCAGATAGCTGCTCAGACAAATTTGACACTACTCCAGGTCAACAACTGGTAAGAGTGCCCCTTTCTGAGACTGTGCTGTCAGCACAAGGGAGCACCTGGCAATGCTGACATGAATACATAGTACAATTTGGTTGAAAATATGAGTTCTTTTAACTAGGAATCCTTTGTTACCATAGCGCTGGAATTGGTGGCAGGATACTTGCAAATAAATCAGCGCACACTTTCAGCATTTTTAATGATCTATACTTCCACTATGGACATTTTGCCTACTTCCTGCTTCCCGATTAGAAATGCCTTTCTCTGTTGCATTACTACCCCCAAACCCCCACATTCATTCAAAGATGTGACATTTTCGCGGATGAGCTTTGATTGGTGGATGGCCAGTTGAGGTGTCCTGATCTCTGGTGGCCCCCTGCAGCTCTGCCACCTTGTGAACCCCTGTGTCACTTTGTTCAGCTGTAACTGAGGGAGGCAGTCCTTCGGCCTTCCGTCTCTATATGGTCTTGTGCTACAGCAGGACTTGGGGTCCTAAGAGGGAGACGCCCGGGGTGACAGTTACTTTATAGAGGAACCATCCTGTTCTCGCTCTGGTGTCACAGGTTACGGTGGGCCCCTGTGCGTCCCCTTAAATGAGAGCTGTTCACCTTACTACATGGCGTTAGGGTCTAGGGGACACTTAGATCTTGTTTGTTAGTCATTTGTCTCATTTTGGTTGACTTACTGTTCAGGTGTTGGAAACTATTTCAGCTTGATAAAGTTGGCGTGCATAAAAGAAAAGACAGCACAAGTTCTACCACTTGTAAACATTGTTATCTTTTTATTTTAACTGTTAAAGTGTAAACTTGAAAGTCAGGTAAGTTCCAATATAAATGATAAAATCTCCCAACTTATGCAATTATATGTGCGGGAGGTATGCGTGGTGTTGCATTAAATGCTTCTGTTATCTTGCATTTGGGCCATTATTTTTAAGTAGGAATAATACACCACACTATTTGAATTATTTCCTGTTAAATCTTTTTAGATAGTGTTAACAAAAATTTAAAGCTTTCAAGTATATTCTCTCAAGAGCTTAACTACCTTGTCGCTCATACCCCAGGGAAAAGAAGACAGAAAAAGCGCCTTGGGCTGGGTGGTCTAGCTGTTTCTGGATTGGTCAGGGACATTGTGTGCATCTGCACAGCCTCTGCTGTGGTGGGTGCTTTCCAGAATGGCTGTCATTTCACTTCTATCACAGGTGTGTGGTGGCCGTGTGGCCGAGGGGTGTAGATGGACAGGAACAGGGAGCATGTGCATTAGGCATCTTCTGGGTGCTCCAGAGACTGCGGGGGAAAAAGACGGGACCCAGGCTGCCTCCTGGGCTCTCCCTCCCCTGCTGTCCCACATGTGCAGGCCAAACTCGGGTTCTGGGAGGGTGGAGATTGAGGAAAGCAGGCTTTTCTCTCTACATCTTTTCAGATTACTACTGTCTTTATTGATGGGAGGCTGCATCCTGCACGCCTCGTGGCCGTGTACTTTGTGCTCTCTACGTGGGGCCAGGGCACCGAGTCAGTGCCTGGTCTCTAAACGCAGCTGAAGTCTGTTGGGGATTTTGTCCTTGTGCTAGCCACGTGTCTAGGACAGTTTAATGACCAGTGACTTCAGCTGTCTAAGACATAGCTCGTCGTTGGGAATAGTCTTTTAAAGAGTTGAAACTCTGACCTCAGAGCCCTAATTTGTGGTGGCCCGAGACAGCAGTCCACAGCCATGTGCTTCAAGGCCTGGGTGTCTGTCCATGCTCAGGCCATCTGTCCACTCTCAGGGCATCTGTCCATGCTCGGGCCATCTGTCCATGCTGGGGGCATCTGCCCACACTCGGGCCGTCTGTCCACACTGCGGCCCGGCCGAGCGGGGCTTTGAGATGGAGACAGGGCTGCGAGGCCTCGGGTGTGACGAGCCTGCAGGCCCGACAGCTCTGCTGCTTTAACCTTCTCCTCCTTAGAGAAAATGACGTCAAACTCGCACCCTCAACAGTCTCATCAGTGTCGGCCCGGATATCGTTCACAGACCTGGAGTAAATGAGTTAAAGTGAAGAAAAGGGCCACAGCCAAGCTGGTCTTGACTCAGACGAGTCATTTTAAAAGCAGCCTACCCTGTTTTTCTGGATATTCACACAGTATGCTTGTCATTACTCTTAAATATTTGTAATAGAGAATATGAGTTATCCTGATTGCTTGGGGGTGGTTTGTGAAGCAGCCTGTTTACTGGAAGGACTTGTCGCCCCTGCAGAAGGTCTTTAAAACGGCCATTTTGATGTAAGTTTTTCCTTTGTCCACGTCAATGCTCAGGTTCATCAATGCCAGAAGACGAATTCTTCAGCCAATGTTGGATTCTAGTTGTTCAGAAACTCCGAAAACGAAGAAAAAAACTGCTCAGAACAGACCGGTTCAGAGGTTTTGGCCCGACTCCATTGCGTCCGGCGCTGCACAGCCGCCACCGAGTGAACTCACCATGTCGGAAGGTACGGACAGCGGCCGTGGGGCCAGGGCCACGAGGTCAGGGGCACAGGGCAGGTGGTGGCGAACGTGAGAGCGAAGGGGCTGGATGACCGTGGCTCCCCGTGAGCTCTGGGTCTGGGGAACCGTATGCAGTGGTCTGTTTTTGCACTGAAACGTGAGGAAGGCCCTGTCTGCAGAAGCCCCCTCTGGATGCTCGTTAAGGGGGGGTGCAGAGCTGTTGACGGTGTGGCACTGGGGACCGAGAAGACACACAACATGGGTGAAATGTCACCTCCGTCTCAAGACGCAACTGGACGGTGAATGCTGTGCCTTGTTCCCTTTTTGTCTTCCTTCTCCCTCGGGCTTCGGTGCACAGCACTGAGTCATGTTCTCACCCCTTGGCCTTGTGCCCGTCTCAGCCTGTGTGGACCCTGCAGCCCTCGCCTCACTTTGCTGGTTCCCGTTGGCCCTGCCCCTCTCGCCTTGTCAGCATCCTTCTGATGTGTGTAATAAGCATCTTTCTGTTTCCGTGAGTTCTCCAAATCTTGCAGGGTTCTGTGCACGTGTATTTTTAAGTGTATATAAATGGCATTATCATCTCCTTCTTCCTTTTTTTCACTCAGCAGTGTACTGTAATGAGGTTGGGAAACTTTGGGGCCGTTATTTCTTCAAACGTATTTCCCACCCCCACCCGCCCCTGCAGGGACTCCAGCTGTCCCTCTTGGGTCATTAAACTCACATGGTCACGGATGCCTTGTCATCTTTCTTTCTGGATTCTTTTCCTTTATTTCATTTGGCTAGTTTCTATTTCCGTCCTTCAGCTTCACTGAGCTTTTCTTCTGCAATGTTGGACCTCCCACTAATCCCATCCAGTGGATTTTTCCTATTAGACAGTGCAGTTTTCATCTCTAGCAGTTCCACGTAGTCGTTCATCTTTCATGGGTCTACTTAGGTTTTGAACATAGAAAACAGTTGCAGTGAGTGTTTTGATGTCCTCCTCTGCTGACTCCAAGCCCCATCAGTTCTGGGTCGGTTTCTGTCGCCAGTGTCTTCTCCTCACTGTGGGTTGTTTTCCTGGCTGTTGGCAGGCCTTGTCAGCTCTGCCTGGGGGCCAGACGTTGTGGGTTTTGCCTTGTTGGGGGTGCTTTTGTGTTGGAGCTCTGTCCAGCAGTTCGGTTACCCGGGACAGTCTCATTCCTGTGTGCCTTCCTTCTGAGACTGTCCTTGTTCCACGGTCCCTCAGTGCTCTGCCCCAGGCTGGGGCTCCACCCGGTGCCCCGTGCATTCGAGCTGTTTCCTGTCTGGCAGGGTGAGCTCTGATCTTTCCGGTGGTTCTTCCTGGCCGCCGTCGTCTCCTGCCCACCCGCACTGTCCGTCCTCTGCACAGGGCTCAAGGCGGCCACAGCCGCGCTGGTCTGGGGTCGGGTGGGTCCTCACAGTGGGCTGTGAGTCGCGCTTCTTTTGTTTCCATCTCACCTCTCTTAAGTTGTGTTATGTGCATTTAAAGCTGCGGCTCCATCATTTGGGTTTTGATATGTAGTGGTCTCACATTCGTATTTAACTAATTTCTATTTTTCAGGGTTTGTTTTCTCTTTTAATCCAAGAATTAGTTAGAAAGGTATTATTTCTCTCCCTCCCTCCCTGCTTGGAAAATCAATACTTGTCTATCGAGGAAGAAGTTCAAACAGGACCAGCCAGTGAACAGTGAACCTGTCCTCCCTCTGGCGTCTACTCTTGTCCAGAGACAGTCCTTATTCCCAGTTTCCTGTGTGTGCTTCCAGTGCATGTGGGATCAGATGCTCTGCGTAGACAAGAATGAGCGCATCTCTTTAGAAGTTTTCCCCCAGGACCAATATAGCGTATCGTACTGTCTCCTCTTGCTTTCATCGCTTGTTGGTACACCTGGAGATCTTGCAGGCGAGCACCTGAGGTCTGCTGGGTTGTGTTTAATAGCAGCAGAGCATTCCATGGCTCAGCATCCCTCCTCCCTGCCACCCGTAGGCCCCTGGGTTGTCTCCGCTCCTCTGCCCTTGGCCTGGGGGACAGGCAGGCCTTGGCCCTCACAGGTTTGCTTTCTTTTTCCTTTTCGTGCTTGTCCTTGCCTTGACTTGTTTTCCTTGTCCCGTTTGCCCGTCTAGATCCGTCTTGTCAGCCTCTTTCCTGTGCTCTTGGGCCTCTCGTTCTCCTTGTAGCACTCACTGTCCGCCCTGGGCGCCTGGCTTCTTTATAGTCCTGACCCCCAGAGGCCTGCTGTAGCCTGAGTTTATGAGCCAAGCAAGGTCTGAGGCCGATTCTAGAGGCAGTTTCCTGTCGAGCATCCCAGAAACACACGGGGGTCTGGGCATGAGGTCACACAAGCAGACAGCACCCAGCTGAGTAATAAATGTGTTCCCCTGCCAGCGCTAAGCTGAAGAGTGACCACCCGTGTCCTGCCCCCCGCAGGAGCTGTTGTGACGATCACCACGCCTGTGAGCATGAATGTGGACAGCCTCCAGTCTCTGTCCTCAGATGGGGCCACCCTGGCAGTACAGCAGGTCATGATGGCGGAGCAGAGCGAGGATGAGTCTGTGGACAGCACGGGGGATGGCGGGGCTGCGCTGGCGCCCACCCACATCGGCGGGCTGGTCCTGGAGAACAGCGACTCCCTGCAGTAGGGGCCGGGCGCCAGGACCTGGGCGGACGGCCTGACTGTTTATAGTTTGCACAGCAAACATTTTACACAGTTTTATTTCTAATATGTTTTATATGTAGATATAGAAGAGTGCACTTTTGTATTTCATAGTCGGCTTCAAGAGCGTCTTTGCTGGTGCAGCGACTTCTTTCAAGTGTGTGTGTATGTATGTGTGTGTGTGTGCGTTGTGTGTGTGTGTGTGTGTATGTGGATTTTTAAGGAAGTTCTTTAAAGGTTTAACGCTAAAAATGTGATGAACGACAAACACCCCTGTGAACCCCTGATTAGATTAAGGACTAGTGCTGCCATTTTCTAAGAAATCATGCAGTTTTCATTTAGTTCGGTGGTCACAGCAGGTCTCAGTGGGCTGCTTTACTGTGTGGCTCATGGCTTTGAAAGAAGCATCTGCACCTTAACGCTGCCAGTGTGAGGTGGATGGCAACACATGACAATAAACTGAGTGTGACCTCGTGGTGAATGTACGCGATTCCAATATGCTTAAGTTCTCTCATATTCCGTGAGCCTGTTTCGTTTGCTATATATAAAAAGAATCTCCTATTTTTACCTTGCTGGAATTATTGGATAAAAAGCTATTTTTATAAATTCGTTATGAATTGGATTATGACTATATTGAGGATGAGATTTCTAGAGAAGAAACAATACATGCTTACCATTTCCATTTGGAGTGTGCTGAATTGACCAAATTTAATGAACCTGCCCAAAGTTAGCTAGCAGTCCATGGTTCTCTGCTATCCTAGGGTAGTAATTGACATTTACTACTGTAAAAGAAAAAGCTATGTAATGAAATTATCTTCAAATTTTAATTTATATGTAAATGCTCAGATTGTAGTTTACACTTGATCTGAACATATATCTAAAGGTATTTGCTACATAGGACTTAGGGACGTTAAGTGACATGGTCGCCAGGAATCAGTTGAAAGCTGTTACCATACACATTTCAGTCTAATTTAAATTTGACTACAGTTAAATGGTTACTATACCATGTTAGCTGTGTATTGCTCTAGAATTTTTAGTTAGCCATATGTTACGCATAGAATGTTTATTATAAACTAATATAAAATGTCCTCCATCCCATTGGCTCAGAGCTCGGGTGAATAACACACACTCAGCTTTGTTACATGATTCACAGATGTTCATGCAGTGACAAAGATGGACTGGGCCGTGATGACGGCGCGATGGCAGACTTCCCTGCCATCGGCTCTCGCACGCTTGCTATTGGCCCTGGTGTCGATGTTTTCTCCTTGTACGTTGTTGCTTAGGAATTTCCAGAGCCCTACCCTCTGGCTTGGTCATAGGAGAGTTGGAATAATTTCAGGACTTCCGTTTCTGGGGACAGGATGAACCAGAAGAGTAGACTGGGTTTTGTTTGCCTTGGTTTGTTTTGTGTTTGTTTTACTTGCAAGTGGGCTTTTTCTCAGAACACAGGCCCCTGGTTTCACAGAGAAAGTCTTTACACAATCTTCAGTGGGATGCCCAAAACTCAGGCGTTTCCGAGGGATGGTTTTGCGGTTGGGAAGATCGTCAGCTCTTGAGGTCCAGCACTAGCGATTGTTTATGGACCAGGGTTACACTGAGGGATATTTTGAGCTAGGGCAGATTTTTTTCTGGAACTGACTTTTTCTCTAAAATTTATTAATTTAAGTAAATCATAGGAGAGTACTTCCTAGATAACTTAGAAGGCAGCAAGAAATACATAGAAATTTCTTTTAAAAAATTTCATGAGCTTTAAAAGAAAAACTTGTCAACTCTTTCTGGGGAGAGAATAACATTTTTAAGCAGGTATTGCTTTCCTTATTTATAAAGAGTTTTCAATATTTTAAGTCAAGTCTACACAAGTTTCCAAGATCATTTTAACTTCACTTAAATTCTGATGTTGTTGGACTTGTTAAGACGAGGCCCTGTGGAAGCCAGCAGCCGCCTCCTTCTCCCCTGCTGCCCGCACCCGCTTCCTCTGCCCATCTCAGCCACGGGGCCCTTGCGCTTGGCTCAGTGAAAGCACTCGGAGTGGACTCGTGCTCGGGTCCTTGCTTCGTGCCCCCACCAGCAGTCACCTTCGCTGGGGCGGAGGTGGTTGGCTGAGTGCTGTGCAAACCATGTCGGTTTGGAGACCGGGCTGTGTCGGGTTCGACCAGCCACGCCAGCCTGGGTTCCACCTTCCATGCCCAGCGACACAGCGTCACTCTCTCCAGCTGAGGTCAGTTTTCTTGAGCCCTCAGTTCTTACTCACCACATCCAGAGGAACAGGGTAAAGGTCACTTAGAGAGAGGGCCCATGTGTGGACGTAGCCTGAGGCTCCTTTCACGTCTTCCCGTGACTGGCTAAGGTGCTTCTGAACAGCATCGACACGGAGAGCCGTTTCCATTTACAAAACCACTGCCCGGCATATTTGTGTTCAGTTTGCCTCTGTAGACCCCATTTTCCAGCCCTCGGACAACCCCGCTGAGCTTTCATTTTCAGTGAACAGATTCGATCCTGACTTTGCTCCTGTGAAATCCTTCCTTATGAAGGATACTTTTGAATGTGCTTTGAGACCCAGATGAAGCATGTTGTTATCCCGGCTGCTCAGCTGTCATACAGAGGTCCGGACGGGCTCTGCTGGAGCCCAGACAAGCTCCAGCTGACGGACTAGCTCAGCTTTCAGTGTTTGGTTCCAGAGGGTAAAATGAATGTAAGTATTTGCCCAGTGTGCAGAGTGAAGTGAGCAGAGGCAGCAGCCAGCTCACAGAGCACAGAGCAATGTCGCTAAAACCGTGCCCCAGAGGGTCCCAGGGGTCATCTCTGTGTCACCTGTCAGCTGACCCGATCCTTCCCTGTGTGAGAGGGCGTGGGGGCGCTGTTCTCTTTAGACACCCTCAAACCTCCCCAGAGGGTGCGGACGGTCCGTCTCTGGCAGGTGGTGACAGAAATCACCCAGCGATCTTCCTGTTGAGTCATGTTTGTCCATGGACTGACAATCTTTAAAGTGTGAATACTGTAACCATATGTTTTCTTGGATTGTTGTCTTTCAAAGGGATTTTTGTGAAGCAATTGATTTATCAAAGCAAAAAAATTAAAAATAGAAACACGCTTCATGGACGTTTCATTTCCTAAACTTCGTGTCACCACAGGCTGCTTTTCTATCCTCAGTAAGACGTGCAGATTGTTGACATGTTTTTCTGGTGACACGTGGGGTTCGTAGTGCCCCCAGCACATTTTAAAGATTAGGATTGCACCGCTCTGGGACATTCAGATTATTTACTTTTTCAAGAGTCTTTTCTTCAATTACTTCAGGTAGTCATTGGTTTTCCAGGAAAAAATGGGAAAGTTTTTGTTTGTTTGTTTTTTGTTGTAGTTTATCATAAATCTAGTCACTTTGATAGTAATGAGAAGAAAATGGTTTGTCTGGAGGTGTTCCCTTTCACAGTTGATGTTGTAAGCACCTGCCAGGACCGGCCCTGAACAGCCAGAGCAGGCGCATTGAGACGGTTCCACAGGGTTTTTTTCTTTGTAGTCCCGCGTGTTTTAACTCCCCAGACTGCTTATGCTCAGAGGCTGGAGCAAGTCAGCAGGCTTCACTGCTTTTAAAAAGTGCATCTAAAATTGTGAATCCTGGTGCAGATGAGTGCCAGCGATGGAGTACGTGGTTTCAGGAGATGCTGGTTGATGGGACAGAAAATGGAAGTCGCTGTCTTGTCTCCCCAACTCCCTTAGGCCGGAGGCCAGAGGGTGGGTGTGAAATTGAACCAGGTGAGACCTTGGCCCGGCCCTCGAGCCCTCTGGGCTTAAGTGCTTCGTTTGTCAAAGGAACGAGCTGGTTTATAGGGTTTATTCCAGCTCAAAAATAATGTTTATGACTAATAAAATTCTATCTGTGTAGAGAGGGACGAGTGAACAGGTAATAATCTACACATGCTGAAAGCAAGCAGTCTATTTGGATTAACTGTTGAGTGTTTTGCACTGGGATGTGAGGCCGCTGTCCTAAATCGTGGATGCTATGTTTAGTCCACATGCTGGGCTATACACGCTCCAAGAAGAAATTCTTAGCACAAATTATCCTTGCCCTTTTGCAATCAGATCCTCTTGTCTTCACTGAGACCTAAGATCTCCACTCCATTTTTAAAACAAAATTTGCGACCCTACAGTGCTGCAGCATCTCGGCGCACGAGACTTAGTGAAGCTCCTGCTGTCCCGGAGGCAGGCCGTGGGCTCCGGCGCTGCAGCATCTCGGCGCACGAGACTTAGTGAAGCTCCTGTCCCGGAGGCAGGCCGTGGGCCTGCGGTGGGTCTCCGTGAGCCCGCTCCTCCTCACACTGACCCAGGACCCGCCTCTGCAGAGGGGAGGGGACGGACTATCCCCTCTCAACTAGGTCTTTTCCAGCTCTGCCCTGCTTAGTCCACATAGGACCGGTTAGTGTCGCCTAACTGAATAATTTGATAAGTATTTTACATACAAATAGTATTTAGAAGGCCTTATCTTGCACAGATGTTCCTGTTTCTTTATGTCATTATTTAAGTAGACCCAAGCCTTCAGCCCACAGAAGCCAATCGTGGCTTTCACAGAAATCAGGAGCCTTGCGTCCGGTGCGTTTGGAGAGGAGCGTCTTGATGTTGGTGGCTTTAGTTGCTTGCACATCTTTAGAAAATGGCCAGTAGAAAACATCAGGTATATTTCAAAATATTTTGCTTCATGTTAACTCATTTTTTTCCTGATATTATTTTAACACCATCAGAAAAAGCTGTGAAGCCCTCAGTGGTTTCTGCACTCTGTGTGTTAGTGTAGACCTGAGTTTTCAAACCCCTGTTAGGAGAGCCCGTGGAGCTGGAGGAAACCCACCACGGAATCGAGCCGGGGAAGCGAGGAAGAGGGGTGTTTGCAGAAGGAGAGGAGTGTCCGTCATCCCCGCCCCGGGGGCAGCTGGAGCTGTGACAGAGCAGCGTCAGAGAAGCAGCAGAGCCAGGAGAAGACAAGGCAGGAATTCATCTTGTCACCTTGGGGTGAGGAAGACCTTTTAAGTCCCCAGATACATAAGTCATAAGACAAAACATTGGTGGATTTAGCCAAATCCCAAGGTGGGATTTCTGTTCTGTGAAGGACACCAAGGACTGTTAACAGTCAGCAATCTGAGAGAAGAGTTTTTGCCTCTCTTTTTTAACATCTAAAGCAGACACGGAGTTCATATTTAGGATTAAGGGGAATTCCTGGAAACCAAGAGAAAAATGACAGAGGATGTCAACAGGTGGTTCACTGAACGGAAACCCCAAACGGCCCGTGAGCGTAGGAAGAAGTGCTGAGCCCCAGCCTTGTCAGAGAGGCGTAACTCAACCACAGAGGGCTCCCCTCTGTCTGCCAGGCGGACTTGGAAAGGTGGCATCAAGGGTGTGAGGAAGTGGGAACGGTACCTGCTGCCAGGAGCGTCACTGGGACAGCCTGTGCGGTCCTTCTGCCAGGCCTGTGGGACCTTGTCCGCTCTGCCCTGGGTGCCACCATCTCCCCAGGAGCGGTTGGTGTAAGGACCTCCACCGAGATGGTCTCAGCAGCGTTGTCTGCGGTGGCAGCGGCTTACGGAGGCACCTGGGTGTCCAGACCGAGGGGAGTGGCTGGCAGATGTGGTAGGCGCATGGCTGTAGGGGCTGTGGGGCAGCCGGATGCCAGGAACCAGCTGACCTGTGGCAGACGGGTCTTCTTGGGGCTGATTCTGAGGGCTGCTTCATCTCTTGACCGTGGGTTGCTGTTTTCTTTGTTGTGTGTCTCATGGTTTGTGAGTGAGTGCTGAATATTGTTTTGTAGGGACCAAACAGTAGATGCACTCACGCCCAATGGGCCGCCTTTCTGACAGGCCCTCGCTGAGGGGTTGAGTGCGTCTGTTGAGCGCATGTGCTGGCTTTAGGTTTGTCGTTGTTTGTGTTACCTTCAGCCTCTCCAGCCAGAGGGTTTCCCTCTGTGCTCCCACCTCGCCTCCAGCTTTCAGCAGGCCCTGCGCACCTGAGCCACCGAGGGGGTCTCTCTGCCCGTGCCCCTCCCCCAGGGGAAGATGCAGTGTGGGTCGAAGTGGGGGCAGGCTGTTCTGGTTTAGCCCCTGCCGTAGGTGGGTACTGTGTCCTGGGGCTCAGGGGTCAGCCTCTCCAGCGGTCGCGCCCAGTGCTGCCTCTGCCCTCAGACTCTGCCTTGTGTCTGGGTGGGGTTTTGGTCGGGAGTGTGCCTTAGCAGGACAGTGGCTCTGAAAGGGCTTCTGTGCCTCCCCTGGAAGTGGTGGTCTTTAATTGGGTGGGGGGGGGCTTCCTTCCCTGGTGGATTAAGGCTTTTGCTTCACGTGAGGGAAGGGTCTGGATGGTGGGTGGGGTATTGTGCCTGCGCACCCCAAGGAGGGTCTCTCCAGTCCCCGCCCTGCTCCCTGTCCTCCTCACCAGCACCCGTGTGAGTGAGCGCTGACCCCCCATGGCTGGCCCCTGAGCTCTGTGTCACCTCCCAGCCTGCAGGGGCTTGTCGCCTGGTAGCCTTGCAGTCACAGCTCTCTGAGCCCCAGAAGAATTAGGATTTTGTAGATTATCCACTTTTTCTCATTGTTAGGGTGCAAGGAGTGTTCTTGTGGCCTTCTACATTGGGAATGGAAGCAGAGCTGCAAAATGATTATTAAAAACAAGATTTTAAGATCATTTAGAATGGAGAAAAAAGCAGAACGAGATCTGTAACAACATCACATTTAGGTAAATGAGACATGCACGGCACGCTGTTTTTGAAGGACATGTACAAATATGTAGAAAAAAGGGAGGGAGGGCAGCATTAGGAGTGGGTCCCGAGGCCGAGCCAGTGTGCAGTGAGGGAGGTGCGGCCTCGTCCACGCCGGTGGACAGCATCAGGAGCGCTCTGCATGGGGGATCCGAGAGCTCAGCAGAGGGGAGCCAGGAAGCAGAGAAGGAGGCTTGAGGTCACTGTTGTTCAGAATTTAAAGGGTGGTTTCGTTGTCTCCCACCTTACTGTTGAGCACTCTGAAGCCATCTGGATCCTGATTCTGTGGACAACAGTGTTTATTTTCTGCAGGGGTCGGGGTCTTGTGACAAGGTGTGTTTTTCCACAGCCATATTTGCAGTCCCACAGGCCCTTCTAGGACTGTGTCCATCGAATGAGTCCCCTTCTCCTGAAACTGGGTGAGGTTTTATTGCTGCTCGACGTCAGAACGGGATGCAGTGGCTGTGACGCTGGGAGACTGAGGTTAAGACCAAAGGTGGATAGCTTCCACCTGGCCCTTTCTCTCCTGGGACACTTGCCCTCGGGTCCCAGCCGCCATCTTGTAAGGAAGCTCAGGCTGCACGCTGGGGTCATGGATGGGGTTCCAGCCACAGCCAACACTAACTGCCAGACCTGCAAGACTGAGTGAGCTTGCAGATGCTTCGAGCTGCCGCAGGGACAGCTGCTCATAACATGCTATGCCATTATTAAGCAGCCCTGGTAAGTGGAGCAGGCCTCTCTGTTGCCTGGGCTCTGCGAGGCCATGGCCTGCCTCCACATGGGCCTGCTTTCCTCCACTGCACCGCGTCGAGCACTTGGTGGGCCGTTCCAGTCGTGTGCTCGCCTCTCTGAAGCTCCTGCTCAGACCCATGAGAAGACACCCAGCCGGCCTGGTCGATCCTGATGCTCATTCTGATCTAGTCACTAACCATCCCCTGACAGTGCTGTTGGGCCCAAGAAGAGCCATTTAAAGGCACTTGGAAAGGAGTGGGCTGCACATAGGCCTGCGTTGCAGGGACCTCACTGCACCAGCCAGACACCTGCTTCGTCCCCCGTGCGAAGCTTACATTTGACTGTGTGGTGCCATCTCAGCTGAATAGGCAGCGAGGCTGCTCTGCGTGCCAGTTCACTTAATTCCTGACGGAATGCATTTCTGATTCAACCTGCTTACTGAGAGCCCACCACGGGCCAGGTGCCGGGCTGAAGATGCGGAAGAGCCCCGCACTCCTTGCTGAGATGCTCCTGATCTGACAGAGGAGGCAGAAGGGAAGATCCCGCGTGCAGGCCAGCCCGGCACCGGGAAGGAAGAGCCTGATTGTTGTGACTAATTCACAGAGGCCAGACTGAGTTAATGAGCAGCCCA